CTTTCTTTTCCTTCTCTTTGGGTATGAAGCTCCAGGGAGCTGTAGGGGCTCCCCACAGAAAACCAGCGTTGAATGTAATGAAATGCCGATTTCTGGGTGAGCCCCGGAGGCTCCCTGGCAACCCTCCCTCCAACCGGTCGGCGGTTTTTTCGCGTTGGTTGAAGCTTAGCGTCCGAATTGAAGCTTGGCAGCCGGCGCGGTAGGTCTGGGGCTCCGCCCTCCCCCTCTCAGGGCGGGGAGGGCTGCGCGGACCATCGACGCGGCAGTATAGTTTGATGTTTGCTTGTTTCCTTGTGATTGTAGGGAGTTTCTACCTCTCTGTTCGGTTTTTTGTTTTAGTTTTTTACCATGTGGGATTTGTTTTGTTATGCCGACCTTTCTTGGTGCCTAACCCCGGTCGATGGCAGATAAGGAAAACCCCAACCACAAAGGGGTTTTCCAGGGCCATTGCTCCCTGAAACCTCTCTGAAAGGGCCAGGTTCTGGCGCTGGTCCCTGGTAGGTCTGAACTCCTTAGTTAATGTCCCAATCTAATATAACATACATTAGCCCGATAAGCTCCAGGGAGCCTCCGGGGCTCACCCAGAAAATGGCGTTTCATTACATTCAGCGCTGGTTTTTTGCCTTGCCGGCAGCTTGTAATTTTCTTTTCAAGTGTATGTGTGTACGCATGTACATGTGTACAGTGTGTGTGTGTGCACATGTGTATGTGCATATGCACGTGTGTGTCACATACCTTGTGTGTATGTGTATATGTATGTGTATGTGTATATACATGATATGTATATATATGTGTGTATGTGTCCTTTTTCTTTCGGAAGGGGCTCTGTTCCCTTCTCTGTTGACAGGGGCGCTGGGGGAGCAGCTTGCTCTGTTGACTCTCAGATGGTCCTGCCGTTGGTAGGCGTTTTTGGTTGTCTTCCGGCCTCTGGTGGCGGTGGAGGACGGCTTCACCCCATTTTGGGGGGTTCAGAGCTGGCGGGGTGGGCTTCTTCCCTTGCGCTTCGTCATGTCATCTTGGTGGGTGCGTTGGGCGTGGTCGATCCGCCCCATCCTTCTGGGGTTCCCGTCTGCTGGTGCTGCGTCACCAGCTTCCTCTTTGGGGTTTTCGGGGTTCCGTGCCTTGGCACCTCCCCGAGCCTTCGCTCGATGTGTTCATGGACGGGTCATCTCTCGACTGGAGCTTTTGTGACCAGTGCTCACCAGGTCGGCCGGGGATGGTGAAGTCTGTCTGTCCGTCGGGCTCACAGCACGGTTCGGGAGTTCGTGGCTGTCTGGTTTGCGCTTTGGAGGGTTTGGGTCACTCGGTGCTCTACCACAGTCTGCACAGGGAGCCGGTCAGCCGAGCGGACAGCACGCTGGACTTGTGATCCTGTGGTCCTGGGTTCGATCCCAGGCGCCGGCGAGAAACAATGGGCAGAGTTTCTTTCACCCTATGCCCCTGTTACCTAGCAGTAAAATAGGTACCTGGGTGTTAGTCAGCTGTCACGGGCTGCTTCCTGGGGGTGGAGGCCTGGTAGAAGACCGGGCCGCGGGGACACTAAAGCCCCGAAATCATCTCAAGATAACCTCAAGATAACCATTCAGCTCCATTTGGACTGTTCTCTGGCGGTTCTTGCCGGAACCACAGGGTTTCTCTTAGGTGTTGACCTTTGGGGTTGGTTCCTTGGAGTAGCTCGTTTGCTGGATTCTCAGGGTATGGATAACAGTGAGTTTCATGTCCGGGGTGTGTCCTGCTTCCTGGCAAACAGCTGTCTCAGTTCATTCCTCTGTTCGCGGATTGGCCAGTCATCGCCGACTCGTTTCGTTGGCTCTGCCGAACGTATGGACCCCTGGCCATAGACGTTATTCACGTCGGCGTGGTCTAGGCGTCGCCCATTTTATGTGGCGCCCTTACCCGCCTGCGAGGCGTTCACGTTGGATGCTTTTCGGCAGGACTGGTCGAGGTGGGGGTACCTGTTCCTGTTCTCCTGGTCCAGCTGTTGCTTCGGGTTCTGGCTCGGTTGCAGCCCATTCCCACGAGAGCAGTCCTTATGGTTCCTTGGTGGCCGGCCCAAGCTTCTTTTCATATGCTGCTTGATAGTGTCCGAACCCGGGGCGTTTTCCTGCGGCTCCGCCTCTTTTGGCAGGTCGGATCGATCCTGTACGTGACTAGTTCGGCCTTCTCCTCGGCTCTTCGCATCTGGTATTTCGACGCGGGTATCACTATCTCTGTGGTGTTCAGGTGGCCTTGTTGACGGTGTCCCACCTGCGAGCTTCGTCTTGGCGACAGTATGATGTTCCTGGTGTTTCTATGCACTTTTTCTTGCTCTTTGTGCGTTGTCTTCTCTTTCGCATCGAGTTGTCTTGTCCTTTCTTGGGTTTTCAGGACTACAGTTATTTGATGTTGCTCCTACTGTTGCCTCGTTTTATGTGGCGCTGGCGGAGCCGCTCCGGCTTGTGTTCAGGGTGGACGTCACATCTACCCCATTTCGTACGCTTTCTCGTGTTTTGTTTCACCTCCAGCCTTCTCATGCGTCGCTTGCGCCGTCCTGGTCCTTGATCAGGGTGCCTTCTTACCTTTTCCTCAGTTTGTGGTAGCCTCTTCGGTTCAGGTTTCAGCTCTTTGGTACTGGTGGTAGATTTGTACGTGTGCAGCCTTTTTCCGTCCTGGCGACAGTCGAGACGGCTGGTTACCAGAGGGGTTCTTGGGACATTGATGCTTGATTGGTTTGGCCGGGGGGTGCGTCCTGTGTTGTCCGGTTGCGCTTTTAGCCGTTACCTGCGTACCGTGTCTGGGGATGTGCTTTGGTTTGATCCGGTTCCCCTCATTTCCCTGTTTCAGGGTTCGGGTCTTCCAGGTCGTCCGCAGAGTTTTTCAGTCTTCCAGCCTGTGGTCTGTCTTTGCGCCCGTGCTGTTCGGACGTTTGCAGCTTTTGCTGCTGTGTCGGTGACGTCTAGGGCTCATTTCGGGCTCAGGGAATTGAGGGTCGCACAGGTTCTTTACCGCCTACTCTTTATGCGCGTCTGCTCCTGTGCATTCTAGTTGCCTTGGGTCGCAGGTTGCATCGTGTTGTCTCGGCTTCGCGTTGCGGAGTTTGTGGCGGCTGCCTCCCGGGTTAGCTGTTTCTTTTCCTTCTCTTTGGGTATGAAGCTCCAGGGAGCCGTAGGGGCTCCCCACAGAAAACCTGCGTTGAATGTAATGAAACACCATTTTCTGGGTGAGCCCCGGAGGCTCCCTGGCAACCCTCCCTCCCACCAGTCGGTGGTTTTTTCACATTGGTTGAAGCTTCGCTTCCGAACTGAAGCTTGGCAGCCAGTGCGGTAGGTCCGGGGCTCCCCCCTTCCCCTCTCAGGGCGGGGAGGGGTGTGTAGACGATCGGCGCGGCAGTAAAGTGTGATGTTTGCTTGTTTGCTTGTTTCCTTGGGAGTGTAGGGAGTTTCTACCTCTCTTCGGTTTTTTGTTTTAGTTTTTTACCATGTGGGGTTTGTTTTGTCATGCCTACCTTTCTACCTTTACCTAACCCCGGTCAATGGCAGATAAGGAAAACCCCAACCACAAGAGGGTTTTCCAGTGCCATTGCTCCCAGAAACCTCTCTGAAGGGGCCAGGTTCTGGCGCTGGTCCCTGGTAGGTCTGAACTCCTTAGCTTATATCCCGGTCTAATATAACAGATTAGCCCGATAAGCTCCAGGGAGCCTCCGGGGCTCACCCAGAAAATGGTGTTTCATTACATTCAACGCTGGTTTTTTAGGTCCCTGGTAGGTCTGAACTCCTTAGCTTATATCCCGGTCTAATATAACAGATTAGCCCGATAAGCTCCAGGGAGCCTCCGGGGCTCACCCAGAAAATGGTGTTTCATTACATTCAACGCTGGTTTTTTAGGTCCCTGGTAGGTCTGAACTCCTTAGCTTATATCCCGGTCTAATATAACAGATTAGCCTGATAAGCTCCAGGGAGCCTCCGGGGCTCACCCAGAAAATGGTGTTTCATTACATTCAACGCTGGTTTTTTAGGTCCAGATAGATGCAGTCAACCCAACCATCTCTTTCATGTAATATCTCTGTTGCTCGATCATAGAAACTGAGTAAATTCGATACACAGGATCTTCCAGATCGAAAACCATACTGTCTGTCTGATATTATATAATTTCTCTCCAGGTGTTCTACCCATTTAGTTATGTCACAAGTGGAGTACCACAGGGTTCAGTTCTTGCACCAGTGATGTTTGTTGTCTACATAAATGATCTACCAATTGGTATACAGAATTATATGAACATGTTTGCTGATGATGCTAAGATAATAGGAAGGATAAGAAACTTAGATGATTGTCATGCCCTTCAAGAAGACCTGGACAAAGTAAGTATATGGAGCACCATTTGGCAAATGGAATTTAATGTTAATAAATGTCATGTTAAGGAATGTGGAATAGGAGAATATAGACCCCACACAACCTATATATTATGTGAGAAATCTTTAAAGAATTCTGATAAAGAAAGAGATCTAGGGGGTGGTTCTAGATAGAAAACTATCTCCTGAGGACCACATAAAGAATATTGTGCGAGGAGCCTATGCCACGCTTTCTAACTTCAGAATTGCTTTTAAATAAATGGATGGCAATATACTAAAGAAATTGTTCACGACTTTTGTTAGGCCAAAGCTAGAATTTGCAGCGGTTGTGTGGTGCCCATATCTTAAGTAGTACATCAACAAACTGGAAAAGGTGCAAAGCTCCAGGGAGTCTCTAGGGCTCACCCAGAAAATGGTGTTTCATTACTTTCAATGCAGGTTTTTCAAGATGGGGAAATGATTACTGGAGGCCTGAGGAAGCAAATGTGTGTTATTTGTATGCATGGAAGTTATGAATCTTATGATATACGGTACTCACATAATCACATGTTGCCTGACACCCCTTAATATGTCGACTGGCACAGTGCAGGGGTTAAAGAGTGAGAGAAATTCGGTAGTACTGTACCATTAAAACAAGTTTTAATATTATGGCTAATGCACATTTTTTCTCTAGGTGGTGAAGAGAAATGTAATTGAAAATATTGTTCCCATCTTAATTGCTGTCAAACACAAGCTGGAAAAGCATCGTTCACCACTGATGAAACATCTTTTGCTCTATCTGAAGGAGATTATGAGGGATTACAAAAATGAGGTAAGCATGTAATGATGTTCTTCCAAGGATTTCAATGTTCAGTAAATCTTCACCTCCATATAGCAGATCCTTCTAAACATTGGTTCAAATCTGGCCACTAAATTTTCCCTCCAAAATTTTGAAACACGAAAGTCCAGTTTCCAGACTTTCAGATTGTAAAATCTGAATTGTAAGTTTATTATGTAAAGTCATTTTCATCAGTTGTACCATTTCCTGTTTTTGCTAATACAGTACTGTATTGTCTTCCAGGGGGAGTCACTTCTGGCTCCCTGATTCTTTCTCAATGAGATGGCTCCTAACAAATATGTTATATCAGTTGTAGAATTTTTAGGCTTACCAAGGACCAGAGCCAGAATCAGGCCCCCTCAAAGAGGTGCAAAGAGCAGATGACAGACTGTCACCTAATTGGGAAAAGCATCCAGAAAGTCAGCCCATCAAAACAGGCAACTGCTCAGTTCCGTAGAGACCGAAGCCTCGCCAAAGCCTAAACAAGCGATCGGATCACTTGAAACTAGCACGTGCTCATTTGCTCCACCACACCCCACAAGTTTGAAAAGATGGCAGGGGAAGAAGGAGCCAGACCCATGCATGGCTTGAGCCCTCAGCTGTTACACTGATGTGGTAGCAACACTTCACTGCAGTATGGTTTGTGGGTTGCTTGTCAGTTGCACAGGGTGCACTCTGCTTCAGCTAAGTGCTTTTGGAACTTTGCCTTTAGTGTGAGCATGGTGTCTAGAGCACTTGGAGCTGCATGTGCTTGGGGCTTATTTTCCTGGGTGCTCCCTAGTGCTGCCCTTGTATTGTCAAAGTTCTCTTTTCTGGTGTGTTCAGGGCTTGCTTCCTTAGAGGTCCTCCTTGCTTGAGGTGGCTTCACCTTAGGTGAGTCAAGGGTCTTTTCAGAGTGGCTCGTGTGTCTAACGTTTATGGTACACCAAGGTCGGCTGTCACAGCTGTCTGCTTCAGGATAGGAATATTAGGTTAGGTTAGAATAGGTTGGGTTCTTACTCCAGGTCTTCCACTTTCTACTGTGGGTGGATGAGCAGGGAAACATGTCCTTTCTAGCATAACCTGGAAGGAGGCTCCCCTTTTCCAGGCTCTCAGAGGGGAGGGGGGGGGAGGGGGAGTCCAGAGAGATATGTTGCCATGCTAGGCGCTCCTTAAAGGTACCCTCCATCAACTGCCAAAATTTGTTTATCTCCTACCTGTAGGTTCTTGATGCCGTAAGAATATAAGTTATACGTTGTCGGGAGCACCAACCTGGAGAGGGGGATAAGCTGCCGTCTGGTCCTCAGAAGATCCTGCCTATGTAGCCCCGAACGTTTTTTTGCTGCTTCCTGTAGGATCTTTTCTCGGTATCTTCTGTCACTGGAAAACGACCATAGCATATCCAAATCCTTTTTGAGTTCGTGGTCCTCACTTGTTATCTGCTTTATTCAGATGCCTAACAAATAGGGAAGATATCCCTTGAAGGATGTTGGATGACAGGAAGTATATAAGAGATAAGAATGCAAGTTAGAATCCTTGTGGAACACTTTAGTTTGGAGTCCCTTTTCTCTGTCCAGATATTCATAGGTGTCGAGGAAAGGCAGCTCCTTAGGGCTAGATTCCATGGTAAAACCTAAATCTGAGTGAACACCATTAGCCCATGTGTGAAAATTCTTGACCTCTACCTCCCTGCCCGCCATTACTCCAAAAATGTTATAAATAGAGTGGAACCTTGGTCTACGAATGTAATCTGTTCCAAGAGACGGTTCATTCACCAAAACGAATTTTCTCATAAGAAATAATGTCAATTGAATTGATCTGTTCCATACACCTAAAAAATATAAACTTAAAAATACATTTTATACTGGATATTACTCATTTTCTGTGGGAGCCCCTACGGCTCCCTGGAGCTATTGGACTAATGTGTGATATATTAAAATGGGGCATTAGTCTATGGAGTTCGACCTACCAGGATCCACGAGCCAGAACCTGGCCCCTTCAGAGAGGTTTCAGGGAGCAATGGCACTGGAACCCCCCCTCCCATGGTTGGGGGTTTTCCTTATCTGCCACCAACACGGGTTAGGTACCCAGAAAGATAGGCACAACAAAACAAACCCCACATGGTAAGAAAATAACAATTAAAAACCGAAAAGAAGGGGTAAAACTCCCTCCACTCCAGAGGAAACAAGTAAACGTCACACTTCACTGGCGTGCCACTCGTCTGTGCAGCCCTCCCCTCCCCGAGAGGGGAATGGGAGAGCCCCCGGACGTCCCCGCACCGGCTACTCAGCACTCCAGTTCGTCAGCTAATGTAGACCGAGACGGACGTCTTCTCTGGCCTCGATTTCCAAGGCGGTGTTTTGCCTTCGTAGCGACCTCTCCTGTGTTATTGTGTGTGGTGGCCAAGTGTTCCTCATCAGTGCCGTGGGTGCATGCACTTATGGGCATCCATCCCTGGGCACCCTGTGAGTACTGGCCTTGCATAATTACCTAAGTGTAGTTACAGGATGAGAGCTACGCTCGTGGTGTCGCGCCTTCCCAGCACTCTTTGTCATATAACGCTTTGAAATTACTGACGGTCTTGGCCTCCACCACCTTCTCACCTAACTTGTTCCAACCGTCTACCACTCTGTTTGCGAAAGTGAATTTTCTTATATTTCTTCGGCATCTGTGTTTAGCTAGTTTATATCTATGACCTCTTGTTCTTAAAGTTCCAGGTCGCAGGAAATCTTCCCTATCGATTTTATCAATTCCTGTTACTATTTTGTATGTAGTGATCATATCACCTCTTTTTCTTCTGTCTTCTAGTTTTGGCATATTTAATGCCTCTAACCTCTCCTCGTAGCTCTTGCCCTTCAGTTCTGGGAGCCACTTAGTAGCATGTCTTTGCACCTTTTCCAGTTTGTTGATGTGCTTCTTAAGATATGGGCACCACACAATCGCTGCATATTCTAGCTTTGGCCTAACAAAAGTTGTGAACAATTTCTTTAGTATATCGCCATCCATGTATTTAAAAGCAATTCTGAAGTTAGAAAGTGTAGCATAGGCTCCTCGCACAATATTCTTTATGTGATCCTCAGGTGATAGCTTTCTATCTAGAACCACCCCTAGATTTCTTTCTTTATCAGAATTCTTTAAAGATTTCTGACATAATATATAGGTTGTGTGGGGTCTATGTTCTCCTATTCCACATTCCATAACATGACATTTATTAACATTAAATTCCATTTGCCAAGTGGTGCTCCATATACTTATTTTGTCCAGGTCATCTTGAAGGGCATGACAATCATCTAAGTTTCTTATCCTTCCTATTATCTTAGCATCATCAGTAAACAACCAGCGTTGAATGTAATGAAACGCCATTTTCTGGGTGAGACCCGGAGGCTCCCCGGAGCTTTACCAGGCTGATATGCTAATGTCAGACTTTGGCATCAGTCATGTGTATGGAGTTCTAGGGCCTACTGGGGACCACGGCCAGAACCTGGCCCCCTCAGAGAGGCAAGGGGAGCAATGGCCTATAGAAACCCCCGTGTGGTAGGAAGCATTCTATGTCTGCCATCGACTGGGTCAAGCATCCAGAAAGGTAAGCATTCCAAAACAAACCCCTATTCTGGTGATAATTGCTACATAAAGCCGAACTAGTGGATAGAACTCTTCAACAGAAAACTAGGAAACTAGTATGACGTCATACGTCACCGCGCCGCTGTCTGCGCAGCTCCCCCCTCCCCGGGAGGGGGAAGGGGGAGCCCCAGACCTCCCACGCCGGCTATCCATCCATCAGTTCTGAGGCTGGATGTCAAAACACGCGAAAAACCACCGACCGGAGGGAGGGAGGGTTGCCGGGGAGCCTCCGGGTCTCACCCAGAAAATGGCGTTTCATATCATTCAACGCTGGTTTTCTGGGGGGAGCCTCGTCGGCTTCCCGGAGCTAACTACCCACAGAGGAAGGTCAAAGGGACAGAATCAGGAGGCAGAACCCACGCACCCCCCACGGAAGCGAGACAACCGGCAGCAAACGCCAACCCAAGGCGCCACAGCCCCGAAAAGTCCCGGGAACACGAGAACAACAAGCAGCAAGGCCCCCGCACGAACACCAAAAATCCATGCCCGAAAGACCGCAAGGCCACGTCGCCCAGACGGCAGCGAGAGCAGCGAAGCCACAAACGCCACAGGCATGAGGGAAGAACACAGGCAGCTTAGCCGCAAGAACACGGCTGACCACCCGGGACACCATCACCCACGAACCGGGAAGAACAGAACCGGATCAACGCGAAACACGCTCCGGACCCAAACGCCGTGGCACGCAAACAACAGCGGAGGGCCGACACTGAACACAAAACACGACACACCCCCGGCCCGACCAACGAAGCACCAACAAACCCTGGACCCCTGCAGAACGCAGCAGCCCCACCCCGCGCCAGAAAAGATGGAGACTGCTGCCACCGAACAACCAAAACGCTAAAACCGAAGGAGCAAGAAAACTCAGCGACTCGACCCCCAGAGGCAAAGGCCAAAAGGAAAGAGCCGACGAAAAAACACACCGGAACCGAAGGGGCACTACCAACCGAGGAGAAGGCAGAGCACGCTGACCAGAGACCAGGATGGTGCAAGCGGCGCACGAACAGGCCGCAGGTGAAACGACGCACAAGACAGCTTACTAACGGTGCAGAAGCCACACCAAGACCGAAAGCAAGCTGAAGCGGCTCCGCCAGCGCCACACGAAAAGAGGCGACAGTATGTGGCAAGACGACGGCCCCCAACCCCCACCAGAAAACCAAGCCGAGAGTAAACCAAGCTAACAAGAGTAACCACCTAAGAAGGGACAGGAAAAGGAAGGACCGCCAAAATACCCCATACTGCCACCAAGAGAAGCACGCAGGTGGGACACCTACCACGAAGTCACCCGACCACCAACCGGAGGCGAGACCGCGAGGCAGAACATAAGCAGCCCCGACAAGGCCCCTCCGAGCCCAGGAAAAGACGGAGCCGCGGGAAGATCTCGGGCGCGACCACCG